TTTGTTGTTTTTAATAAAAGTAGAGAACCTCGAAATTAATCAATATTGATATGAAATGCATCTCTGAAGCGTACTGTAGCTTCGGAGCAGCTGATATTAACGGCTTTTTATCGAAATATAAATATATAAAGTGACAAAACCCCGTTAACTGTTAAACGAACGTTATTGTCATTAAATCAGCATAACAATAACTRTAAATGAAAGGCGTTAAGCACAATTAGTTACAATACTTATGTGATTCACAGCAAAATAAAACAATATCATGATTACAATACAGTTAGTAAATGCAATTCGCAATTTTTTACAGCGTTCACAAACCAAAAAACAAAAATGCACATTTTTCCATTAAAATTTCACTTATAAAAACTTATTATTTATTACATTACTTTAACCGTGTGTGTGCATATTGAATTTATAATATTTGTTTCTGACATTAAAGGCGAATTTCCTAATTAGTAATGCATTGAAGTGGTCATTAATTTTATTGAGTTACTAATTTCCCAACATTTTCACATTGCCATTGTGAAGAATATTTATAAATAAATTTATTTATGCATTTTATGGCAATTAGCACATTATCAGTATTGATTGCAGTCAAACAAATGCATTTGTGTATAACTGTAAATTTACAAATATTTATGGAAAATTTAAAGGCGAAAAATTGCAAGRTCTGCAAAAATTTGCCTATAAACTAAAAAATACACTCAAACTTTACATACAAATTATGAAATATGCATGATTACCGCATCAGAACGAAAAAAAATCATTAAAAATTCTTGTCGTTTTTTTTCATATGCGTAATTGCAGTGCAAACAAAATAAGTCACGCATACGCCCTGGCGACCGAACTACAAAGCAAACAAGCACGCAACTCTTTATTTGCCGAAGTTCTTTGCAACGGTTWGTAGTTGGTATGCTGCACTTATTTGTTGTTGTTTTTGTTTTTTTTTAACACTTAGTTAAATGTCTAGTTGTTTTCATTTTTTTGTTTCTTTTTCTAACACTGAACTAAATCTCTCGTTGTTGACTTAACGAATATACACTAGATGTCACCTGCATGCTGCTTAATATATCATAAGCATTGTGACAAAAAAGAGCCCGGAAATTGTAAATAAAACGCAAAATATTTAATTATTCATCTATATTTATTTTGTGGTTGATAATTTTTCACTGTTGACAGTCATAACTTCGAAGTTGTAGATAAGTTCGTCTATCTTGGAACCAGCAGCAACACCAACAACAACGTCAGCTTCGAAATCCAGCGCAAGATATTTCTTGCCAACAGGTGCGACTTCAGACTAAGTAGGCAATTTAGGAGTAAAGTCCTCTCTCGACGAACAAAAACGTTGCGAGTTTTCGAGAGAAAAGTTCCACGAAAGATTTATGGTCCTTTGCGCGTTCGCCACGGCGAATATCGCATTCGATGGAACGAAGAGCTGTAGGAGATATACGATAAGCGTAAGCGGTTTCTACGACAGTAAAGAAGAAGATTTCTTTTGTCGCCCTCAAAGTAATTCCCACCACACGTAATACACCTTTGCCAACGGTTTATCCAGTCCTCGAAACACTTTTCTTAGGCAGTTTTTGTGATGGACTACAGCTCCTTCAGCGAACCCTAATCTGATGAATACGGTGTTTGATTGCTGCTGCAGTATCCAKAATGAAGCTGCACAAGGGTAACTCTCCATTCACGCATCATTTCGAGCTCTTCATCTGCAATGGGTGATGGTTTGCCTCCAAGTACGCTATTCTCTGAGATAAGCTGGTTATTGCAGAGATGATTTCTACGAAAGTGCCCCAACGGAAACTGCTTGAAGAGGGGTTCATTATTCTACGCCGTTAATTGATGGTATTCATTGCCATCTTGGCTCGATGCGGTGGTGCATTATTATCATGTAAAATCCATGAATTCTTCAATTCCGGCCATTTTCGACGGATCTTCTCACGCAAGTACCTCAATATGGTCAAATAGAACTCCTTATTGACCGACTRTCCTTCCRGAACAAATTCATCAAGCSCCAAATCACGATTASTGAAAAATAATGAACATCACATTGATTTTTGAGCGGCTTTGGCGTTGTTTTTTACTTTCGGCTCGGTTTTTCCCTCTATTCCGACGATTGTTGACTTGTTTGCATATAAAATGGTATTCGTGCGATCAACCAAGGCCTGTTTACAATACTATTTTTCAAAAAAAAAATCAGCTCTATTGTGACGAGTCAAGCAAAAACGCGTTTCATACCAAAAATATCCACCAAAATCATTCAAAAAGACTGAGAAGAGATGTGAAGCTCTCTTGCCATCTCTTTAACGTGGAATTCACACGATCAAGCATGTACAGAGAGAGACCTGTTTACAGTACTTTTTTAGAAAAAAATCAGCGTTATCGAGACGAGTCGAGCAAGAATGCATTTCATAAACAAAATATCCACCAAAATCATACAAGCGAACTCGCGATAGATGTCGAGCTATCGTGACATCTCTGTAACACTTGCCTGCTTTTCAAGCACGACAATTCACGACGTCTAGACCGAGACATGTCTTCAACGATTAGTTACAAGTTCCGAATGCTCTTTTGTCACAATGTATAGTATGTACATATTATACGGGTATGTTGTTAGCGTAGTTAATACTAACTGACAGGTCTCTACGGTATCTCTAGTAGGATTAAGAACAATATTAAGTTTCTGAATAACTAAATTGCAATTGTGATGACAATMTCCAGGAGTACTCTTAACAGCTGATGGCTTATTGAGAATTGAGAATGATTACTTTCTATAGAGATCTCGTGTTTATCTTCGATYTGACCACTGCTATCTATATATACTAAAAAAATACTTACGAAAAAAAATCTTTCGATTCCTTCCAACATTTTTTAGGTTATACATCATCAATGGTTGCCGAACTTTACTTTAGAGAAATATTATCAAAATGTAGATTAAGTATTTTTTRAGGAAAGCCAGAGTTGATTATTTGTAATTAATAAAAACTGTATCCATTACCGTCACAGAAACACTTTTCCAAGGCTAACTGACTATTGAGGTTAACTATCTTCAATGACTTAATACAACTTATCTCAACTAAATTTAACATTTCTTAACTTACAGAAATATTGCTTATTTAGATTTCCAGAGCCACAATTCTTTGTTACTCAATCACTGAGTTATCGCTGCTRCCCTCGTATGAGGTATGCAAAATGTTTTCGAAGAGATTAGCTGAAACTGTTTAAACGAAGACGACATATTTTAATTCTTAATAAGCTTTGGCCGTGAGAGCACTCAAGCGTGAAGTGTGTCCACCGCATGGCAGKGCCATCAGCGAAGAAGACAACAAAAGTTGCAAAAACAATAGCAAATTACATAAGTCGTGAGTGCTTGCAGATTCTACAAAAAAAGGGCAAAGGAAAAAATTCAAATATTTCAGGCACAAATCTCCAGTGTCTTACACACTCTCCGACAGACGTAAATATCAAATATAAGAAGAAAGCGTGCGCACATAAATTACAAATTAACATACTTAATGTAATTACAAACGCCGCCATTCTCGCGCATATTTACACGCTAAGCTCACGCCTGCGAGCCTGTCAGCCGCGTTACCCGACCACATCAATACCAATACCGATGGCAGCTCATTCATACGCAGCATTCGCCGGACCGACTTGTGTCCGCCGTTTCTGGCTAATATGCTGCCAAATAATACTGTTCGCTTGTTTGTTGTTCTTGCTAATAGTATTATCGTACGTCCCGTCGTACATCTTGACCAACAGCAATGACAACGCGTACAACAACAACAATAGCAGCAACACTAGTACGCAACGTGACGGTGATTTTCCAACGCAAATTCGCAATAAATTAGAGGARAATCCCAACAGTCAGCAGGAAACGCCACATCACCGCAACCGAAGCGTTGAAGGCAACACTGTTGTTGTTGGTGGTGTGGTCGGTGGTTCACTTGACGACCACAACAATTTGCCCAAGTCACGCAACACTGCTGGACGCGACTATGGTAGAAAAAATGCTTGGCCTGCGAGTAACGACGCGCTCGCGGGTTCCACATTCGTTATGGAGRATGGCGAGGAAATTATTACTAGCAATGCTTTGATTCTGCATAACAGTGAAGTTAACAACGGAAATGCTGTAGGAAATATAACTAACACACAGAATCCTATCAAACTCGCACCACTGGGGAATATATTGAAGAGCAGRCAGAAAAAGTTCATCATTTTTAGTGGAGCTGGCGTGGTGAAAGTAAGTAGTCCGATATATAATATGATTGGAAGTTTTGGTTTATATTGATATAGTATGAGGATAAAGTGTCGAAAGTTTGATATCAAGATACCGAGAAAGTCCAATATTACAAAAACTGTTATAAAGGGGTTTTCAAAAAGAGCGCTACACATTTTTTTAATAAAATAAAAATGATTTGAGGATCAATGAAATTCTTTATTGCTGTGAAAGTACATTCAATGCCATTATATATGAATATCGATTTCTTTTGCATGGCCACCACGGGCACGCTTGCAGAAGTCCAGGTGCTGAACACAATTTTCGACGGTTTTCAAGCACAAATCGACTGATACTGCTGCAATTTCAAGTTCGATATTCGTACGAAGTTCATCAATTGTCGCTGGCTTGTTGACATAGACCATGCAGGAATACCGCGACCGCGACCGAGGCCGAGATAACACGTTCACCAAACTTGGTTTTCAATAAATCGATTATGACATTCGCTTGTGGCTTGTGRCGCCGTCCTGTTAGAACTACATATTGTCCAAGTCCATATCATCCAATTTGGGTTATTATTGATTAACGATTCCCATTCACAGTAACGTGCCGGTGACTCATGGAGTACGTCAGAATGTACTTTCACAGGAATAATGAATTTTGTTGATATCCCAAACCGCGTTTGTTTTATTTATAGAAAACGACATACATGTACATGCTACAGTGGTTCGAGAAAAGGACGAGTGCATTTCAAATGGMTATCTCAAAAACTGAATTCACATTTACACAGACGGACAGAGAGAYGAGCATGSCTAAATCGACACAGATCGTCAYGCTGAGTTTCATGGCACGAGAGAGATCATTAAGCAATAGTCTCTTATTTTYGYATAGCTCTTAGAAATTGTTCTTTTYACATAATTATCTTCATCTATTCTGCTTTGTACCAAAAATTTAGTATAAACTTATCGAACTATTGACATTTCAATTATGAATTCAGAAAATGCTCTAAACTGTGATTTATAAGRCCTGCTAGCGAACTGTACTATTACTTAGTCACACAAAGCTGACATGTTTCTATCTACCATATCTCTTTTCAGTACGTCGCGGGTGTATCTTTTCCAATTACTCTKGCCGATCCGCATCGCTCAATTAATCACTACTACAATTTACAAATCCAATATCAAAACCTGCCGAGACCGCTCTATTGGTGGAACTTTTTCAACTCTAGTAGTTTTGCAGCTCGTCGCCGACAGCGTCAACTAACAGAGGCCACTCATATTAAGCACGATACAAGTCGGGAATTTATTTACAAAGGAATCGAGCAAATTTTTGAACAGTATGTGAAATGTTGCACAGAAATATTGAAAAACATATGTATATGAATAGCTCGTTTGCCATATCGTTTTTTAGTCAAGGTCTACCGGGTGAATCCTGTTTACAGCAAGCCATTTGTGAAGTCTCCCAACTGCCATTTCATGTGCCACGAATTTGGCGTAATGATTTGAGATACTTTTGGCAGGCCATAATCAATGCTGTATTAATGTAGCTAACGGATCATTTACAAACTATATATATACTGCATTTAATTAAACGTTTCTGTTGACTTTACAGACCCACTGTACCCAATGTAGATATGAAATATTTGCATGCCAGCCAAGCGGGACGTTTCGGTGTCGACTGTCAACAAGCGTTTAGTCAGTGCCCACAAAGAGTAAATGAGTGGCTGCGCAGAGTGGCTAATATGGTTTGAGTTGCGAAATCATTTAACGAGAGCTGACCAAAAGCTGAGCAAATACATTGACCAAATAAGCTTGTATATTTATTGTACCGTTATACTAAAAGTGTTGATGAAATGTAAGGCTAATAAAATAATTAATTTTTGAATTTTATAAAAATAAAATAGGAAAAACTTTCTAAAATCCCCAAAGGGATGTTTGCATCCTCTCAAATAGCAAAACTGCTAATATAGGCAATGGTAATCAATGAGTGCATGACGTCTTGCATTCTAACGTTGGGTCTATAGGCGACGCCTGAGCTCAGCAAGCATTGATCAGCAACCTGCACTTATGGAAATGCGAAAGCTTTATGTTACACAGTGAAACGTAAAAGGTCCATTGAACCCCTTAAGGATTTACATCGCCGCAATGATAAGTGTCCTAACCAGGTAATGTCCGTTTGGCACTCACGCATCATAGAAACATCTAGACATTTTCGCCTGCTCACTGCCCAGCTTTTGCCAAACTAAGGTTGCAGCATCTCGGTTGTCACGCTTTCTACGAACCCGTCGTACTGACTGGTATTGATATTAGCCGCATCAATAAATTCATGGCAGACTCTAAGCGTTGTTATGCGATGGTCTTTTTGAWTTATAACTACAAGTTTTGGGCATCAGAACGGACAGGAGTCTCTAGCAGTTCAAGTAAGACAGTGGCCTAAAAAAAAACTACTTAATCTAACCTAACCTAATCCCAAAGTGGGGTTACGAAACCGGAGGGACAAAGAGTATTTCGGACAGGGAGTATTTTGGATGTAGTTGATATGAGCGATATTCGAATCCCTAGAAACCCGTGATGTATGAAACAGTAAAATCAGATCAGACTAGTTGGTAGGCGTCATTTTGGCTACTCTACAGATCGCAACAACATGACATTGTATCATTTTATAATATACTAAAATGTTTCTAGAGTTAAGCCAGCCAATTTTTAGGGTTTCTCATTGCTTTTTATTGTACATTCCCATCGTCAGATACCTCTTGCGGTCCCATCGAGCTTATAAACTTATTGAATTTACGATATGCTCAGTTCGAAGCAATATTGATCGGAACCGCAGAAACTAATGTGCGCATACTTACGACGACATATCGAACGAAGATTAGATAGATCCTGGTGAATATGGCACAAGTCTTCTTTTTTCTTCAAAAAAGCAATGTTTTCTTTATTGTTTGTCAACTCAGTGACGTGCTCTTTACACTCGGAAAATTAATTARCGTCCAAGAAGCGAACTATTTCGACAAGGTAGCAATATTGGGAAAAATTACAGAAAAAATGAGGGAGCTTGAAGAGGATTGCGGGCGGTCTTTTTATGCAGCGTAGATATTTAGAATGACGTAATTATTCAGTAGGTTTTTATAACCGATAATCGGAAAACAAAATGTAAAAATGTCCCTATTAAATAAGATAGCATTAGTAAGATCAGTAAGACCTTACAACAAGAATACTTTACACATAATACTTACAAGCCAATTTTACAATTTTTGTCTACCATAAGGCATACATACAAATACTCGTCATGAAACATTTGTCATCAGCAATTTCATTTCTTCATAAAAAATTTGTGCAGTAACAACTTCTTTCGGTGTAAAAATATTAAAAAAAAAAAAATCTTAATACATAACTATTGGCTTATCTACAAATTCGAAATTTTCTATACGTTTATTCATAGTACATATATTTAATTTGGAAAAAAAAATGTTTGTTTCGGCCTTATGTGGACGATCSCTGGCTTGTGGTGGGCAAAAGCTTATGTCAAGGGCTATCCTTTCCGCGTCAATTATTGCTAAGGCACAAACAGCAAATCGTTTTATAAACTATCGACTCGAATGTTCGAAAGATGGTACGCGTTTGAAAAGACCACTGAAAAAACCACGAACCATGTGGTTAAATCCTGATTGTTGTTTGGATCCGTGTCCCAATATACAGCCACGTTTCGATGAACTCTTTTACAAAGCATCCGATAAGGCAAAGCGCAAGTACACACAAACATGGGTTGAATGTCCAAAGATGAAATATGCTCGGAAGAAAGTATGCTGTTACGATAACATCATACAGCCAACTTTCAAAAGACGTACTCACAAGAGAAAAGTCGCTGCAGAGGAGTGTAAACCCAAACCGACTAAATTAATGACATGTAAGACGGTGTCGAAAAGAAAGTGCCCAAGATTTATCTTGCCTGGTTGCAAAGCCGCTCGTGATCCTGCAAAATGTGGTTTTCCACGACCGAAGGTTGATTGTCATAAAGTCTGTACGCCTTATCCGAGTTTCTCAGAATGTGTAAAGAAGAAAATCGCTCCACCACGGCCGATCGAATGTCGTTGTCTGGATATACCAACTATGTGTGAAGTATGGATAGAATTTCGGCGAACTTTGGGCCTCAAACAGAAGCGTAAACATTAAATTAAAAATTACTAACACTGGAGAAACAAACATGTAAACTCTTTGTATGAAAAAATTAACCTTACTGTAAAAACTAAAATAATAAAAAGTGTAACTTCGAACTACTTTGAAATATTTATTTAGTAGGATTTSATTGATATCTTTAATCAATTTCACACAAAGCAACAGATCGAGCTACAGTGCCACCAAGAAGTTTGCTATCCAAAATTCCAAAACACAGAGGCTAGATTAACCAAGCTAAATGTGTGTTAGTCTGGACTTTTTAGTCTGCATTTACTAACTTAAAGACTTAGTTAGGCATTTACTTAGTAGTGAAAAGGTGATCATGGGCTAAAAATCGGGGTCTGTTTCAGTTAAGTAGATCCAAATGTACTAGAAACGATTTAGTAACCTATATACATACATTTTTTGTAGAACATCTACTACGGATTTTTGCTCCAAGTATTTACAAACAAACGGATTCATTGAGAATTTAGAACCTAATTTTCGAAGGTACCCACTTAAGGGAATATGAAACGATTAACCATGTTCCCACGTATAGTCTACGTAACCAGAGCGGTCCCGAATTTTTATTCAACCAAATACTATCAACTGGCAGCATTCTTCAAAATTATTTCAAGAATGTTTTCTGTCGCTACAACTATAACAACTATTGGAACCCCATTTAGCAAAAAGAATGTTGTTGTTGCTGTTGGTGTAGCGGCCATAAAAAGTGGAAAAAGTTTAAATTAAAACAAGCAAAACTATTATTTCTGTAAATATTGCATATATTGATACTGGCAATGTTGTTCAATTGTAACAGCTGATGAACTGTCAGCTGAATGGTTCCCCGCGACCGGAGCATGCTCTTTCACAAGCACACGAACAARTGTAGTGATATGGAGATATGGAATGCCGCCAGAATTTCATCAAGATCTCACGTATTACACAGGAAAACACCGAAAACTAAAACCAGTTTGGTATGAAAGCAAAAATTGTAAACAAAACATATTTAAGTTCGTACTTGTGGTGGCGGTAAAGAGGAGTGTCAGTTTTCCAAAAGAAAGTCAGAAGCAAAGTCAGGCAACATTTACTGAGGCAAATGCCAACTAGTTTTGTTTACTCATTATTTAATACACTATCAGCAGTGGCCGCAAAAAGAAAGTTTCGCTGCATAGTATTGCTTTACACGTCAATGTCCATGGAATAGCAGTGCCCATAACTGCAATTTGCAACCATACAGGCTCACAAAAACATCATTAGCAAAGTGCAATTTAAATTATTAAGTGTTTTAATTAGGTATGTAGCCTTGAAATAATTCTGAACAAATCACTATACTTCTATGTTTATTTATTTTTACAGATAAGGTGGGTCTACAGATAAAATTCAATGAAAACGTCTTCAAAGTAAAGACAGCTTGATTGTTGTTSTTTGGCAGTAAATTATTCAACGTAAACAAAAATCGTTATTATAAATTTCTGTTCCAATATTTTCAAAGGGGCCTAACTCAACAGTATATAGTACAAAATATTGAATAACTCAGTGTAATAATAATATAGTTATATTCTATGGTTGATCACTAAAGCCCCATACAAATTAATGCATGAAGCACGTTATGACTTTCTGTTGCAAGTATTTCACGCTTTATAAACATAAAAATTGGCATTTGAATGTGTGCGACTTAAAAAGTGCTTGTATATACACAAATAATTGCAAAAAATAATACATATCGCTATGTTGGCATTTTGACGCCAGCAAACTTAAAKTATCATAGCATTTCTTATTATTTTTACTCATTACTTTTGTAATAATTTAGACTCGTCAACTGACTGCAACAGCAGTACCACATACAAAGTGCCATTAGTTGACTATATAAAACTTTCGCTGCATTCAAGCATAGCTACATATAACTATTTACATAACATGCACAAGTTATTTGTCTCCGCATTTCATTACTGAGGTAAACAAAAGAAAAAGATTCGTTTGAGGCGATAAAAGCATTACACGCACATGAATTACTTGACCTTAAAGAGGCCATAWGTACTTGAGGAATTCAAAAGCAGTTTAGTTATTGAAATGCATAGATATAAAAATGCGCACAAAAATTGAAAAAGATTTGTACATGTTGCCTAACAAATAACCCATTATATTATTTTTTAGAAATATATGTAGCTCGTACAGATTTTTACCTAAATTAAAGTACAAATTACGAAACGAAATCCGTTATACAACATTGCAAACTCGAATTCCTGRCAATGACGACACAACTGGATACCGCTAAAACAAATACTATTTCACCAACAGGCGGTGACGATACTGAAGCTGAAACGTCTACTTTATCTATTGACAATCCACGCTCATCGCCAGATTTTAAAAAATACATTAAGGAAAAATGGAAAATAAACAGCGCATCGGAGCAATTGAGCCAAATAATATCCGGTGGCTTAGCTGCGGCTATCACACGTAGCTTCTGTCAACCGTTGGACGTGCTAAAAATACGCTTCCAATTGCAAGTGGAACCACTGAAGGAGCACATCAACCAACAATCAAAATACACAAGCATAGCGCAAGCTATACGCACAATTTACCGCGAAGAAGGTGTACTCGCCTTCTGGAAGGGTCACAATCCAGGCCAAGTTCTTAGCATAATTTATGGTGTATCGCAGTTTTGGACATATGAACAATTGAGTATGGCGGCCAAGCAAACGACTTACCTCAAGGATCATACCAAYACATCGAATTTTCTTTGTGGTGCCACGGCTGGTGCTACGGCGGTTATATTATCAACGCCTATGGATGTAATACGTACACGTCTTATTGCGCAGGACAAGAGCAAAGGTTATAAAAATGCAACACGCGCCGTATCCACAATAATACGTACGGAGGGTATATCTGGAATTTATCGCGGTTTAAATACAGCACTATTGCAAATTGCACCATTGATGGGTGCCAACTTTATGCTTTATCGAATTTTCAGTAAATCAGCTATGCAATTCTATAATGTGGAAAACCGAAGGTGCGCTCAATTTGTTTAAAATATTTATTAAAATWTTAACATAATTAATTTCTATAGCGAACTGCCCACATGGGTGCTACTAGGTTTGGGCGGATCATCGGGCATGCTCTCCAAATCACTCGTTTATCCCTTTGACTTATTAAAAAAGAGACTRCACATACAGGGTTTTGAATCGAATCGTCAAACATTCGGTGAAAACATACGTGCTACTGGCATTTTCAGTTGCTTGCGAAAAACTATACAACAAGAGGGTCCAACAGGTTTGTACAAAGGAATGGCTCCCACCTTATTGAAATCTACAGTGACGACAGCGTTATATTTCGCCATTTACGATAAACTCAGGCAGATACGTTGGTTTTCTTAACTACACATACAGAGGTTTAAGTTTAAAGCTTAATAATATTATATTTATTTCTTTATATCGCTTTAAGCGTCTGAGAGTAATGTTAAAAATGTTAATTAACTTAAAAAATTTGTTATGAATCGGACTTTCATTATTTTTAAGATMTTATTTTATTGTATGTAAAGTCAACAATACCATATTTTTAAAAATGAACAAACTTTCCATTTTGTATAGTACTTTATAAGAAAGTAAAAAAWAATAATACAAATAATTAAAATGAAACGTACATAAATCCGTTATCGATCATATGGTGTAAAATACAAACTGAAACCAGAACAGCCTTAATTTTTTTAATGTACAAAATTGCCGTAACAAATAAAGCATAGCGTAAACTGAAAGTTAAATTAAATTTCTAACGCTTTTCAATTTGTATATAATTTTGCATATACTAAAAAAAAAATTATTTAATTCAAATTAAGGTAAAACTAAAAAAAGTTATATATAATTTGTTCGTAAATTAATTTCGTGAAGAAACCTTGTTAAATTAAAAAAAATTTTATACAAGAACTTGAATTAGATAGTCCAATTTGAATGCAGATAAATAGTCGGACGTAGMCAAATTGACTTAGCTCGTCACGTCAATAATTTATATCTATACTTTTATAAGGTCTCCAACGTTTCATTCTAAGTTTTAATAACAGCTTGGCAAACTTAATGTACTCTCTTAAGGGTATAAAAATTAAATAAATAAAGATAACTTTCACCAAGGCACTTTCATACACGACACTTCACAAGGGAAATCAGCTGTTTAATGTAAACAAGAATTTTCAKTTTTGTTTACGCGGAGAAGAAAAGTATTGGGCTGATCTAATATTTTACCGGCGGCTATATATTGAAAAACCACAAAAATTAAAATCTTAAAAGAATTTCGCTTATAAATTAAAAATGAACATCCAAACAATATTACATTTAATTAAAATAATAAAACTCTTAACAGTATTGAAGAAGTGTATAATCCATGATAAAATCGCGGATTTYGACGCCGTCAATTGAAAACCACACCACCGCAATACTCTGCGCCCACATCTGCTTGTTTTTGGGAATCCCAAATTAATTGTACACATTTTGTGTTTTTGATAACTTATACGTACATTTATATATATCCACAAARCAACTCACAATAACATATCCAGGCATATCTAGTCAATAAATATTTAAACTAATTAAGACAATCAGCAAGAGCATTAAAACACTAAASGAATCTTTTTAAATTTCATTTATGGATCTAATTGGGATAACAAATGCAAATCAGCGCGGCCAAGAGCAGCAAACAGTTAACACAGTAGAAGATTTCAATGATAATTCGTCAGAATTGTATTACTCCGAAGAATCAGAGGATGATGATCCAACGGGATTTGGGTTGTATGGTAAAATCACAACAGCACAGCTAAGAGAGGCTTTAGAGGAATCAATAAATAATGTGAAAGATCCAGTTCAACTAAGCAAACTCGAAATATTTTTGCACCAAAACTATGGAGATCGTATTGTCTATCTGGAGTCTACGGAAACAATTGAAACATCCGGTTTTCCATATATTATAATGTTTCAAAGTTTTAATGAACATGCCCGCGAGTTACGTTGCTACACCGATATGCTGTATGCATCCGCACTGCAATACGGAGATTACATTTGCTTCGCCATAACAGATTTTGATAATTATGAAGCCGTGCTGAATCACAAACCACGCACTGAAGCATACTGGAAGCGCTGTAAAAAACTTGGCTTTAGTAAATATCGACGGCCGGATATTTACGCAGTGGACACAGAAAATCACATTTATCAATTCGTTGGGCAGCTTAATGTAGATAACTTAAAGCAATTTAGTCAACAACTAATGAATGATGAGTTATACAAAAGTGAAACAATACCAAAAGACGACGAAGAGGGTTTTGTGCGCATAGGCGTAGCAAGTAATTTTGAGCAGTTGGTGCTTAAAAGTGATATTGATATTTTCCTAGTGTTGTACAGTAATAAATGCCCGTGTTCGCGAGAATTAATGCCAATTCTGGAGGAAGTCGGGAAGTTTTTGCAAGATGAAGATATAATAATAGTGAAAATAAATGCAGAAAAAAATTATTTACCATTAAAATATTATGCTTGGTATTATCCAACAATATTCTACATAAGACGGAACGATAAAAATAAATTGATAGAATATAGTGCAGCGACGCGTACAGTCACGGACATTATTAACTTTATAGCCAAACATGCTACCGATGATCTTCTGGAATATAACAGAAGTGGTAGACCTAGGTTTGATTAATATTTATTGTTTTACATCCTTATTGGTTAGTATGGTTACTATTGATACATGCAGCAAATTGCGCATAATAAATAAAACAGCTGATGTTGAAAGAAGAAATCAAAAGCAAGTTATGCTTTATAAGTGAAACAACTGAAAAAGTGTATACGGCCGATTACGGCAAAATGTAAATTTCGTACCTAAATAAATATGTATAAACTCGAAATACGTAATAGAATTGCCATATATCTCGATCATCGAGAATTAATTAATAACATATATAACATTGATACTAAAGAAGCAGCAGAGATTTGGGAACTGCGAGAGGAGCTTTTCCATTTCCATGAACGTTTAAACGATAGTGATGACCGGTGCAGTGCAACACAGGAACCAAAGACTGAAGTGAAGGATGTCCAACTGACAGGCGAACACATTAATGCGAGGAAACGACWAAAAACAAAATGCACAAATGCAATCGCAGCGCTAACGGATTTAAAAACATTAGCAGAGGAGATTTTGCAGCGCCTAAAGCAATGTAAACGATTCGAAAAACATACTGATAATAGTTTTCCACGCTATTGGGAAGAAATTACTAKCGAAGATTTTCCCATCTTTAATGGTGTTAATAAAACCGACACATTCCAACGTTGTCAATTTGGCGCGCTTTCTTACCTCATACCACCGCAATGTGTATTTTTCAATTGTAATATTGAAGAGTTAACAAAGTTACTACCACAACTAATGCCCAACTCAGTTGGTTACGATTTAATTGTAATGGACCCACCTTGGCGAAACAAGTACATACGCCGCTTAAAACGTGCGCGACAAGAACTTGCTTATAAAATGCTTAGTACTGAGAAGCTAAGTCAAATTCCTATGATGCAGCTAGTGCATAAGCATAGCATAGTGGCCATATGGTGTACAAATTCTAGAGAATTGCAACGTGCTATTGTAGAGAATTTGTTGCCGAMATGGAACTTGCGTTTACTACACACATTACACTGGCTGAAAATTAATACTAACGGCAAGTTAATTGGACCCATCGATACAAGTGGTTTGAAGAAGCAGCCCTTTGAAATGTTATACATAGCATGTCACATAGAAAGTGAACCACATTATGGCACAGACTTGCAAAATGTAACGACGATTTTGAGCGTGCCCAGTATTATACATTCACACAAGCCGCCTCTCATACCTTGGCTAAAGGATGTSCTTCCCGAAAACCCGAAATGCTTGGAGATATTTGCTCGTTATTTGCAGCCCCAATTCACGTCTATAGGATTAGAAGTATTGAAACTGATGGACGAACGTTTATATACTAAGRGCAGCCATTTGTAATGTGAATAAAATTAAGTTATCAAATTTAAGTTATTTTTTATTTTATTGTTAAATGTTAATGAGAAAGTGTAAATTACATATATGAAGGCGACGTTGATATTGTACATCGTCACAAGCTTTTGCTATAGTTCAGTAGAGTACGGTAAAGTTTTAGGTTTTACTTTGTTTCATTCACTTTTGAGAGAACTCAAATATAAATTTTATACGAATAAAGGGATGTTGTGTTTAACAAACACACAGTGCAAGTAAAAATATCAAAACATTTTTTAAATTTTGTTTCAAGCAAAGTGAATTGTAGTTTTATATAAAGATTATATTAGCGACATTAAAATGGTAATACGATTTGATCATGCCTTTCCCTGATGTTTACYCTTGGCCCTGTGCAGCAGCAGCGGGATTCACAATATCGTCACCTCGTTTTTTCGAGCCAGACACAATATCGTCAATGCGCAGCAGTAAAATAGCAGTCTCAACGGCGGTTTTATATGTCTGCATTTTCACAGCCAATGGCTCCCAGATACCCTTGACATTCATGTCTACGATTTCACCAGATTCACCATCGATACCCCAAGCGCAGACGCCATCACCTGAATTAACATATTGAATTAACTATTGTTCAAAGATGTTTTAACTTTTTCGACCTCTCACCTGAGTGGGATGCATGTTTTGCACGCAACGCAGTTAAAGTACGAATAGTGTTGGCGCCACAGTTTTGTGCCAGCGTACGTGGAATGATTTCCAGCGCTTGTGCTACGGCAGTATAAGGTCCTTTCAACTGTTTGCGTGACAACAGTTGGGATACAGCCATTTCAATGGCACCACCACCAGCTACCAAACGTGGCTCAATAATTAGATTTCTTGCTACATGTAAAGCATCTTGCAAGTTACGTTCTGTTTCATTTAGAATGTCTTTCGATGCACCGCGGAGCAAGATTGTGCATGCCTTTGGTTCCTTGCAATTAGTTATAAATGTAAAGTACTCATCGCCAATTTTCTTAATCTCAAAGAGACCAGCACCAATGCCGACATCCTTTTCTGACAATTCCTCAGTACGATTGACAATCGTAGCACCGCATGCACGTGCAATRCGTAAATTATCTGTTTTACGCAGACGTCTTATTGCCGTAATTCCGGCCTTGAGCAAATAATGTTGTGCCAAATCAGAAACACCTTTTTCTGTGAACACAATATCTGGTTTGACGGCAATGATATCGGCGCAAATGCGTTGAACAAACTCTTCCTCTATTTGAAGCATGCGTGTGAAATCCTGTTCGCCAATAATTTCAACGTTTGTTTGACTTTCACCCTTTTTATATTCAAGGGAACAATCCAACAAAACGATACGTGGATTTTCAATGTAACGTCTCATCTTAGGATGKGTTACATCCTTATTGATCATAACACCCTTCAGCACACTTGACTCGTCAATGCTTCCACCGGGGATTTTCTCCACTTTAGCATATCTAAAATCGAAATTTGCAGAAATAGATTCACTTTATATTTAAAAGTATCCTTACCGCTTAATGTCAACTTCTAAACGGCCGTTTTCATTCAATGCCACAGTTTGGACAGCATCCAACGCAATTTTCACCGCTAAATCAGACCATTTTCCAATGAATTTTGTGCCAACGCAAGCCTTAACGACTTCAGCCATTTTTTCTTTGTTATTTACATCAAGTGGTACACTAAGGTCTGACTGCAAGTGTTTGATGATGTCTTCTARTGCTTCACGGTATGCACGAATAATGACTGTGGGATGGATTTGTTGCTGCAAAAATGGCTCGGCGGCAGCTARCATTTCTCCAGCCAAAACAATTACAGAAGTGGTACCATCACCAACCTCTTCATCCTGTGTACGAGCAATTTCAATCATGCTCTTGGCAGCTGGATGTTGAACAGTGATTTCACGCAATATGGCATTACCATCATTCGTCATTACAAAGCCACCCATGGGGTCCATAAGCATTTTTAACATAGCTTGTGGTCCAAGACATGTACGAATGACGTCCGCAATAGCCTATAATTGAGAAAATTCAACATTTTGTATCATATGTTCAAGAATATTCGCTTATAAATTGTGTAGTATTATGAGTCACGCTGCTCTATACTCACCTTTCCGGCATTTATATTCTCCAGCTGCACCTTACGGCCGGATTCACGCTTTGTGTTTTGACCTAATAGACAATATATTAGCTTTATCGACTTTCTATCATTGTAAACTTAAACTACTTACTTAACACAAGTATCGGTTGTTGTCCTCCAAACATTTTTAAAGATTTTTACTAAACTTTTTCACAGCTAATTGAAATCACTCGTGCAATACTCGCGTGCGGCTACTAATTGTCAAAAGCAAAAGGCGTTCGAGTGACATGAGCAATGTTTTGTGAGGTTATACGAATTTTCCACTGAAGTGTACCAACTGTCAAAAGACCATAGAAAGAAATAGAAAATAACTGTTTACTTGCTTTGAAATATGTGCGCAAGAATGAAATGAAAGATAACTGCCCGATGTTAACATGTGTTTATTATTAATTTTAAAAATTATTTTTAACTATAAATAATACTTAATACATATCATTTTACTTCTTAGTTTTAAATTTTTATTAAGCATGTTGAGTTTAAATGTATTTTAAATATAATAATGATTAATCATAAATTATSAAGTTTGTAATATTACTTTAAGTTTTAAGAATATTTAATCGGATTAAAATTATTTTATTGAAATAGGAAAATATTAATTAACTAACTATGAATTCATTATTTAGAGTTTGAATATCAATTTTTTTATTTAAACTTTTCATTAATGCCATTATTTTATATTTTCGAATATTTCCAATTGCCCAAATATAAAGTCCACAACAGCTGATATTGTCTCCTTTATTTATACAAGTTTAACAAAAATCATAGGTGAACGTTTTGTTAAAATGGACTCGAAGAAAATATCCTTTGGATTCAGCAAAATAACAAAAAAATCTAATTTGTTAACGTCAAATAAAGATAAAGAAAAAGAGGAAAATAAAATAGAGCTCATAAAATGCTTGGAAGGCCAAGAAATAAAACTTGTAGAGTGAGTAAATCCAGTGCCATTTTAATAATATTTCCAACTGACTTTTAAATATTGCAGTGAAAAGAAAGTGGATGCTCCGATGATCATACCATTGAAGGAAAACACAAAAACGTCCGCTGCACTTGCCAGTTTAATGAAAAGACGTGCTATCCTTTTAGGTGAGGCAGATGAGCTTCCACCTAGTTCGCATACTAGTCAAATAAATAATGATAATAATGAAAATCACCTAAATGAGACGTTGGAGGAGAGAGCGGCACGGGAATTGCTTGCTTCTGTACAAAGTAAAGGCAATGAAACTATTGATCAAAATCTTGTGTTACCCGCGTTGAAAGCAGACGAATTGCCACTTGATGGTGCCAAACAATCAACAATAGATGATTACGACAATGTGCCCATTGAACAATTTGGCAAGGCAATGTTGCGAGGCATGGGCTGGACTGAGCCTATTAAGAAGAAAGGTGAAACTCCAACTGATGAAATGTTATTTGTACGACCAAAAGGAATGGGTTTGGGCGCAGATAAAGCACTTAAGAAACAACCGTTATTAGTGGCACCGGAAAAGAACGAAGTACTAGAAATAAAGAAGCAAGCGTATGTGCGAATTTTGGGTGGTAAACATAAAGATATGTATGGGCAGATTGAAGGTTTTGATGACCACGCCGGTCGGGTTATTGTTAAAATGGCAATAGGAGGAGGCAAAGAAGCCTTCAATGAGTTTTTGTGTCAACCTGTTTCGAAGAAAGAATTCGCGCAGTATGGCAAATGCATCAGTAATTATAAAAATTAAAAGTCAAATATTAAAAACACCACCTTATATTTTGTGTTTTTCCAGATACTGCTAAATATGAAGAATACAAAAAAATGGAGAATGAACATGGACAAATAATAATAAAAAAAGAGGAAAGTCACAAAAAAGCTTTATCTTTGAAGGATGAGATTAAAGGAGAGTATAAAAACAATAACGATAACAAACACAAATCAGAAAATAAGCATGGATATAAGGGTGATAAGTCACGAAATAATGATGAAATTTCAGACAAAAACAGGCAAAAATATAAATATGACAATGATCGCGAACGCTTTGATCAACACAGTAGTTCTTGCAGACAACGAAGCGACGACCGACAAAGTTACCACAGTAATGGTAATCGTGTTGAAGAGAACAGACGACGTGACGGATGCCGGTATAGCAATATTCGCCATTATGAATTAGACGAACAACGTAGCAGCAGCAGTCGCCGTGAACGTTATGATGATCGACGCAAAGAGCGTGATGAAAGCGAACGTAAATCAAGAGGACGYAGCAGTCGGACCGAGCATGAGGAACGCCATCCGTCAGCTAGTAGCTACAGCAGGCGTCAGCAGTACACTGACGATACCAGTGCTTCTTCTGGTACTGATAGTGATTCCGACTCAGCATATGAACGTAAGCTGAAAAAGAAGTCGTCGAACCATAAATCGAAGCCAAAAAAAAAGGRTAGTAAAAAGTCCAAACGTAAACAACGACATCGGTCGTCGGATACAGAGACTTCCTCTAATAGTGACAGCGAGGATGGCGAAGATGTAAATCATCGCGAAAAAAAGCAACACAAAAAGAAGACAAAGAAAAGCAAGAAACCACGTTCAAGATCACGATCACATGATCGCATYGGTAGATGATTGTTGCAAAATAAAATAATAAATTCTATGATATGTACTATATAATTTTTTAAAACTAAAATCAAAATTATTTTGTTTATAATTAAAATAGGGATATTTATTTAATGTGTAAAATGTCAACACTCACGACTCAATATTTTGCTTAAACTTGTAAATTAATCATGCTTGTTTTTTAATATGTATATTGCCCTTAGGAAATATTTTATCTATAAATTAAGGGTTCCAGTTCTTCATTATTTTCATAATTAATAAATCACATTTACATAGAGATTACTTCAATTTTTTTATTTTTTATTTTAATGGATTGTGACTATGCTGTAAGTAAAATGTTAATGATTTCGAAATAATATGTTAGGCGAAAGATWACTTAATGGCACTAAGATTAATGGCATTATTTTTGAGAAATGAATGAACCGAGTGTAATATAGAATTTTGCAAAGATAGAGCAGTGGTTGTTTAAGAGTATCGTTTAGCTTACTTTATATCTAAGACATTAATTACAATTTTTGGTGATTCATATGTTGATGTTTTTCGGATTGTGATCTTGAAGATTACATCCAAGAAACTTTCTTGTGATGGTGCAACATTCAAAGAGAACATTGTAATATTTTATAATTTAATAAATTTGCGCATATACGCTTACGACTTGTTTTTTATATATCTTTAACTCAGCAATTCATTTTGTTTTATAGTTTTTTTTTAACTTTCATAATGCCAAATGTTAAATGTTTAATATTAAACGCATTATCCGTTAATTTGTATAAAGATTTTCACAAATGATATAATAAAAATGAGTAGACTACAAATTTATAACTAAAATAAATAATTTTAAAAATGCAGTTGGTTTTCAAATTAAAAATCTAAGCTGCGTTTTTAAATCTTTTTAAATTTTATACGCATTCACTATTTCTTCAGATTTCTAATTCGCTCTTTAGTCACTTTTCTCATTTCTTTCACGCAATTTTTGCGAGTTAAAAGCAAGACCAAAATAGTCTTTGACCTTGTAGAGCAGATTTTTCTGTTGCATGCCTGGGTATAAACACATTACCATAGTGATCACGTACATCAGTAGTAAATTATTTATTACGGTACCAATCCAAGCAAGTGTCAACAGAGTAACACTCATTATAGTGACAAACTGAAAATATAAGTAGTTGGTTATTTCAAATAATGTTGGCATTATCTACCCACTTACCAAAGTTGATTTACGTTCCTTTGCTGAGAATAGATATTCATACCATCCAYTAAGCAAAGTTTTTAAATAACACAATTGTGTGCATACGCGCTCAAATTGCTCTTCCTGATTGCCATTCCAATTATCTGGGCTGAAGAGAAAACGCGAAACCGATGGATACACGTAATCTAGTGCCAGCGAAAACAAACCCACTAGCGCCAGTGTTGTTACAGTAGACATATCCAATGCCCAGAGCAACAAATAAAAAGCGCTAATGGTTGCAGCAATTATTGCTGGATAATAATTTTTTTCCCAAGACAATACCGTATCTAAATGTACAATGAGATTACGCCATGGCTCCAAATCATGCTTTAATTTGTTGTATGCTCGTTTCTGAAAGTCATTGAATAAAAATTCAGTGAAGAATGTAATTTAATAAACAATGAAAAAAAAATCAAAATGATTTTGCCGACATAAGTGCCAAGATTTCGCAAAGTATGTGTGTTTRAAAATTAAATTACCACATATATGAAAATATATTTCTTACCTGTTCAACAGACATTTTTTTCTTTTCAAAAAATTAGTCTTAGCAGCAGAATAAAAGATTTTGCAAATTTTAATGCTATGATTTTTGTCCTTTGGTAAAATCAATAGGCTTTTAAGCAGGAATAGGCAGAAAATATATCCACTTTACCTTTCTCGATCTGTGAGTTTTCCTTCGGATTGTATTGCGCTGCGATTTTCCAATGCGCTTTATGCGTCTTTGGTTTGTTGTTTTCTGTGTTTTTGTTGCTTTATAAGAACCGTTCTCTTTGAAAGTGGCAGGGATGATTCTGCTAATAATTAGCGATGTGTTTATTTTAACAAAATAATCTCTAAGTATACTAAAATTCAGACTTCGTGTCTTTTTCAAACCGTTAGGTAATTGAAACCTSTCAATGCCTCACAGAATAATTCATTTTTCTTTCAGAGTTTTATTATCCATACGATAAAGAAGGTATAAAGATAGCACAAAAATGGTTTTTAAAATTTTGAAGATTACTTTAATACTATCGCAGCCATTTCGGTATAATATGGCAACATCAAAGGCACGGTTGCAATATTTTAGAATCCACTTTTCATTCAGAAAGATTAATAGCACTTGTCCCCAAATTATGGTATTATTTCTAACTGAATCCGCAATACAGATGAAGACTTATCTTTCCTTTTTAAGATGTGGCTTTTTCTTAAAAATACTTGTAGTATTTAACAGAAAATAGCAACAGATTTATAAATATCTTGAAATACAAGAGTGTATGTGGTAAAAATTAAATACTTTTACTTAAAGGTTAATAAGAGCATATAATAGTAATAAATGTGTCAGTTCTTTAAGCTAAAATTAGTATTTCGAAATAGAACTGGCAACTCCGTTAYAAAAAAAACCATAAATATTAGAAACTGTCACAAAATTGTTCTTCCACTCAGTTACTCCAAAAATAACACATGAATATGTTTTCTTTATATTTATGAAACTTCAGATTTATTTGAAACAAAATCAACGTCAATGTTCTATAAATTTATATTAAACAAAAAATAAAATACAAATTAAAATACCTTTTCATGTTTTTAAGTAGCTTCAGTAAAGAACATATTTTTTGCCAGCATCTGACGTGACTTAAATATTTTACAGTTACAGACGATTTAAATTAAAAYAAGTTATTAAAATCCAATTATCGAAGCGAATGTTAAATCTACCAGATCCTCCCCGATACTTAACATTTCTATGTAAATTTACATTTTCTATGTATAAAATATTTACTTCTTTTACGTACTAGGTTTTTAATTTACTCTAATACAATGTACATTATAAGTAAAACAGGAAATTCAATAGGAAATATTGAAGCAGGAGAGCCGCAACCATTGCGAACAAACAAAAGAAAATGTACTCAACTCACTATGTGCAGGCGTTACTTTAAACTTTCAGTTTTTGAAAGAATTTAATATACATGGATATTTATAAGCTTCAAATAAAAAATTCAAAATGAAAAAGGAAAAAATATATACATATATATAGTATATAACTATAAAGGCATATTGCTTTTCACTTGGCGTTTAATAATGGAATTTGAGCTGAACTCAAYACAACGCCTGCACTGAAGTTTATATGGTAACTGAAAAGAAAACATCCTTCGTTGTCACTATGCGGTAGTGTGGATTTATAGTTTTTCAGCTCTCTCTCTAACTTCCTGAACTGTTTTCCGCTGTGTCCTGTTTAGGTTTTTTCCTCCTTTTCTTTATTATAACGTTCTAGCTCTTTAAGGAATTGAGCTTTTGGTTTCATCACATTTGGACGATCCCCTCGACAATTCGGGCAGAACCACTTACCTTTTGGTTTCAGTACCAGTGAAACGCACGAAAAGTGGAACCACTCGATGGGGCACAGGTCATTATCGCAGAGTATCATTTCGCCAAAAGATATCTTCCAAAAGAAGAGTATAAAATTATGAATTTATTATAATTATTTCTATCTAAATGTATTCTTCACATACCTGATTGCATACACAATATGTTGGTTCATCTGGATCGATTGGATCCGGTGGCGGTGTCTCTTCTCGTACGCTTGCCTGCGCTGATGATTGACCACCTCTTGTCTTTCTTTTCTTCTTTTTGCCGGAATTGTTACCACTACCCGCTCCAGCTCCAGAAGTATTACCACCTCCAGCTCCACTACTGCCACTAGCATTTTGATGCTGGGAGTTATGTTTTTTCTGCGCTGCACCACTACCACCAGATGCTTTCTGTCCGGTTTGCCGTTCATTCGCACCTCCTCCATTACTTCCACCACCTTCGTTAGCAGAATTAGATTCATTTCCACCAAATTCCACATTACTATTCATAACCGCACTCTCATTACGCCTTCGAGAACGTTTGGTAGCCGAACGTTGACTTTCTATAATTGATCCTGTACCAGTATTGCTGGCGCCATTGACAGTTCCACTACCACTGGTACCATTGCTTGCATGGCTAGATCGTTCAGAATTTGGTGTAGAGCCACCTCCACCCGCACCGCTCGATGAACCACCTAAAACAAATATTGGTGAATTTTCCTCTTAATTTTTTATCTTTTTATCAGAAGCAATTACCATTTGCACAAAATGTGTTGCTATCACGTGTTGGACTTGATGCTCGCGCTTGTTTCGCTGGTGTTGGACCTACAATATCGTCAGCTTGTTGCAATTGATCAATACGACTCTGTTGCTGTTGCATTTCCTCTTTAATATCGAGATTCTTCTGATCGGTGTCTAGTTGGCGTGTCTTATGATCTATCAACTCCTGCAATAAATTTACTATTTGCATTTTTTCATCACCCAATTCTTGTGCTTGTATAAGGCTCTGTTGCATGCGTGCAATAGCTCTGGCACGTCTAGTACAATTCCCTTCACTGCCGTTATTATTCTGTAATGAACGCCACAAATCGTAATAATGATCAACGTCACGTAGCAGGCCTGGAAATATACAATTAATACGTATGTAAGATATTTCGCAATCGAATTTGAAAGGCAATTGTCCACAAAAGGTTATGTCGAGTTAATTATCAATCTCTCACAAATTGGAATACTAACTTCTGTACTGTACATCTATATCACGTATACGGGACAAATGCCGTTGCACATCATCTGGAAGATTTTCAACCGAATCTATATAATTATCGACATATGTAGCCGAATAGAGTAATGCTTCAGTTGAAACGGGATTCAACATTTTGTAAATGATAGTTTCTTAACTTTCTGGAACCACATTTAATAAAACTTGATTATTTACTTGTCCTATGATTTTATGCTTTACAGCAACGCTTGCTACTTTCGCACTTCAGTAAATTTACAATGATGAATATTTTTCTATACATATATTCTGGAAATAAATTAGGGAAAATCTCCAAACTTTTCCTATTTGTTGAGATGTTTAACGAATCTGTGTGGCGTATTTGTGGAACGTGCCAGTGGTCCTCATTCGTCGACTGTA